GTCCACCACCACGCCCGGCATTATTCTACATACACATTCTCGGCACTTTCCCCCAGCACCAAGCTGCAGAGTTTTTATTCTCTCAGTGATGCACTTGAAGAGCACCTTCATCATTTCAACCTTCAAATTTCCTCTCATTCTCTGGGTTTCTTAGTCTCTTCAGGCTTAATGATTCACCACAGCCCCGGTCTTTTACAGACAGGAGACAAGTATTCCTCCTATTTCTGGAGGCTGGGATGTTCAAGATCAAGGCTCCAGCAGATCCCATGTCCGGCGAGGCCTGCTTCCTCATGATGCCTTCTCACTGCAGCTCACATGGTGAAAATGGGGACCAAGCTCCTTTGGGTTTCTTTCATATGGGCACCGATCTCCAGTATGAGGGCTCCGCTGCTGTGATCTCATCACCTCCCCAAAGCCTCACTTCCTTATCCCATCCATTGGGGGCTGGGGGACACAGCAGTCAGACCCCAGCAGAGACCCACAGATACAGCCTGGCTCACCTTTTTGGATGCCCGTGGTTTGGCAGTCTTGGCTTTCTTGCCCCCCTTCTTGCCTGATGTGGCCTTCCTTCCTCTTTTCTCTGGGGGTGGGGAGAGGATTGTTTCTGACTTGCCTTTGGTCCCTCGCTTTTTGGCCAGCAGTTCAGGGTGAATTCTGGGCAGGACACCTCCGCTGGCGATGGTCACTCCTTTTAGCAGCTGAGGAGAGAAGAGAAAGCATCACACAGCAGCAAAGAGCTCATTGGACTGGGATTTAGTAAAATTCTAACTATTGGCAAAATGAGGTTTAAATCTGGTCTTTGCTGTCTTAAAGAAATTGTACAATATACAAGTTCATTGGCTTTCAATGCTTGTAGAGCACTTCTCTGTAGGTGTCAAGGATCCCATGATCTTAGGCAGAAAGCAAAGCAAAACAAAACAAAACAAAACAAAGTGAAAGGGTCATAGAAGTTGAAGCCGGGGCGGCTGCCTAGGGCGCTGGAATTTCAGATGACAATAGGATAAAGGGCTTCACATGGGGAGAATACAGCTGGACAAAACTGGGCTCATAGGTCAACACAGAGACTAGACCCTTTCAGGTTCATGACATACCAGTGGTCTGCATATTCTCAAACATGTGGCCTGTCAGGAAAACACTGTTTAACCATGCACTTCCTGATAGATAGGTTTATTTATTAGTTACTGACATGTACTGCTACACTACTATATGCTGACTATCCAGAACTGCAGCACTCCAGTGCTGAGACCTCAGCTCAACCCCGAAGTGTAAGTTTCCCACCTAGGAGGTGAGAAGCACAGAAATCTCGCAAAAGACCCTAGAAACTTATAGCAAATTCACAGCGTTATTTTGCAGCTACTGAATCTGATAATAGCAACGACAAAAAAAATCTGTGGCTTATAGTTTGTATGTCTTTGTTTTTTACTTTACGAGTAATCTATTTGTTTTTGCTTTTTTTGAAATCAGTCTATGACGGATTGGCAGTAAAAACTAATTCTTCATTATCATTTGAAAAGAATGGGATTAGAAAATAAATATCAATAAAAACTCTTACACTGTCCTGGGGCGAGTAGGTACCCACTTGACTTTGGAGTCAGTTTCCACACTAGAAAGGGTCAGTTCTAATATATAAGTAAGGGTTCTCCTGCTGTGGCCAAAGTAAATCATCAGCACGGTCTGGGTGAAGAAATTGAAGGGAGCTGCTTGCCCAGAACTTGTCTCTAACAAGGAAAGGAAGATCTGGCAGACCTAGAACGCACAGTGGGAGGTCTGTTCAGAGCCACTTGATATGACCCTGAATGATGGGGCAAAATTTGTTCTTCTCTGATCTGGTCTAAATGAGAGAGAGAAAGAAAGAGAGAGAGAGAAGGAGGAAGGGAGGGAGGGAGAGGAAGTGGAGGAGAGAGAGAGAGAGAGAGAGAGTTTGGGAATTGCGGCAGGAATGCTTTGCGGCCAGAGGGCCCACTTTCAGAAGCGTGCTTGGTGGACCCACCCTATGCCATCTCTATGCTTCAGACATACCTGGTTGAGCTCCTCGTCATTGGCAACGGCCAGCAGGATGTGTCTCGGGGCTATCCGTGCCTTCTTGTTGTCCCTTGCGGCATTCCCAGCCAATTCTAGGATTTCCGCTGAAATTACAGGGGACTGTTAACAGACAATCACAGAGCTAGGTTTGAACTATTTTTCTTTAGAATTGGCCTTGGAGTTTGACCACATTTACTCATTTGTGATTTTTATGTCTCACTGGAAAGAAATCCAGAAATCTGAAATGGACTCCAGTTACAGATAAATACAATATTTAGCAAGCCATCATATAGGATCTTGTGGCAAGGGCTCATTGTTTCCTAACAGTGAATCTTCCTCTTCTTCCTTAGTATACTGTCTGACTGCTGAGCCTATAACAAAGCCCACATTTCCCATCCTCCCTTGCCGGTAAATGTGGTCATGTGACTGAACTTTGGCCAATGGAAGGCAAGCGGTTGTGCTGTCTGGCGCTTCTGGGAAGTCTTACCCTTCCTACTCATGAACTGAGGATGTGCCTGCTGAAATTGGAGCAGACATCTGACTAAGAAGTTGTGGATGCCTTTTCTAAACTTCTTTTGTGTGAGAGTGAAATAAAATTTCCTATTTAAGACACTGTCAGCGGAAATGAGTGGTTGTGTGTGTGTGTGTGTGTGTGTGTGTGAGAGAGAGAGAGAGAGAGAGAGAGACCCAGGGTCTCACTATGTAGTTCAGGCTGGTCTTGAACTCATGATAATCCTCCTGACTCAGTCTCCTGAGTGCTGGGATTATGGGTGTGTCCACCATATCCAGTTAAGTGCTGACCAATGAAGATTCCAACACAGGACCCAGATGTAGGGCCAACTCTGAAGAGAATAGCAATGTAGGTAAAGTCTGTCTTTGGTATCCACTGCATCACCTTTTAGATTTTCCTTTTCCTCTTTGCTTAATATCCCAGTTTTCTACTGTCTTACAGCAAAATGGATGAAAAGAATAGATTTAGACTGTGGGATAGGAAATGTTTAACTGAAAAGCAAATTCCTACAGGTGACACCCATGAATCTAGGGCAGGAAGGCATATCAGGCCTAGGGGACTTCTACATGTCCCTGAGGACTCAAGCATGGCTGTTTTTAACAAACATGGGATTTGGTAAATGTGAAAATAAGAATAAGAGAGATTTTCCCCAAAGCTACTTTACAGGCTATCAAAATTTTAGGGTCAACTAATAAATATTTATAGAATTAGTTTATATCACCTCTGTGCTTTTCCCCTTCCTCTTTGTTTTTATTTTGGGTTATTTTTCTTTCTTCCTCAATTTTATTTTTTTTTTCTTTTTGGTGACAGAGTCTCACTACGTAGCCCAGGTTGGCCTTGAACTTGTGGCGATCCTCTTGCCTCAGCCTTCTGAATGCTAGACTTATAGGTGTGTGCTACCACACCAGGCTTCTTCCTCAATTTTAGAAGGATGTTCTGCCTTAAAAAAGTATGAATGAGATTTTAAAGAAAAATCTCTTCCCTTAGAAGGCTGGAGACAACATGCCAGTATACTGTCTCATTGAAACATGTGCATGTGCATTTGCATGAATATGGTGTGTGTGTGTGTGTGTGTGTGTGTGTAGGCAGGTGTGGGTGTGTGCTTTGAGGAGATCTGCTCATACAACAACGTAACTACTAATTCCTAAAATTAACAGGCAATTCTGTATAAGGCTTTACAATCAACCTAATTTCAAATAAAATAGCACATGAAATTGCCATCATTCACAAAATCTATGGCAGTAATAAAAGCTTGGCATAAGTATGCCCATATTAACTAAGCAAATGTGATTAACAAAAAATTAGAATAAAATAAACATTAGACTTAAATATTTATGTGGCATTTCCATAATGAAAAGTGCTAAATCATTGCAAATTCATTCTCACATCCTTCCCCAATTATTAAGCAATGAATATTGTGTTTACCGACAACTCATTTATACAATGACGGTGTTTTCTGCATCAAAAACCGGGGCATTGCAGTTTGAGATGTATGAGCGTACTTTTGAGACAAGAGGACAGAATGTTTGAAATTAATGCCACGGCAGATAATTTGGTCTGATGCACTCAGGTTGCTGCCAAAAAAAACAATACAAGGCTGGGGATATAGCTCAGCGGCACAAGTGCCTGCCTGGCAAGTACAAGGTCCTGAGTTCGATTCCTGGAACAAAAACAAAACAAAACAAAACAAAAATACACAATAAGAGGCAGATAAGCTAGCAGGGGACTGCGGGTTAAAATGTGCAACTCCTTCCTTCCAGGCATCATGAAGCAGGTGTGCTGTGCCTGCACATCCTGGGGCCTGACATTTTTGGGGTCCACATCTGGAGGTAAGGAGTGCTCCACTTGCCCCTTCTCTAGAAGAGAGGGAGGATCAACCTCATTTAAAGATTCTGAGCCGCTGAACTGAATTTAGCATCTTGGACACCATCTCCCTTCCTCTCGTCACCTGCAGTGAGAGGGAGAAGCTAGCATCCTCCCGCAGGTGTATCAAGTTAACCCCAAGCCTGTGGGAGGCTTTAGGGGAACCCTGCATACCTGGGCCTCAGGAAGCCCCCACAGAAGATCAGGTTGTTCTCAGCTTGGCAGACAGAGGCACAGACATTAGACCCCCAGACTGTGAAGCTGCAGGAATTGAAGGCAGGAAGAGACTAAAAGGCAGTGATTCAGCATGCGGTGTAGGCCCCATGGGTGAGGCTCAGAGCATGTGTAACTGGGTTCTTGAAAGAACCCTGCCAAAATACTGTGTGATAAAGTAAACCTCGACTGTGCACTTCTTACTGGGCATGGTGGTGCACACGTGTCACCCCAGTACTCTGAGGCGAAAGTGGGAGGACTGTGAGTGTGAGTCCAGTGTGAGCAGGAAGACCCTGTCTCAAAAAACCAAGCAACCAACCAAACAGACAAAAAACAACAAAAAAACACAAACTACACACACACACACACACACACACACACACACACACACACACACATACACACACACCAAAATCAAAGATGAAAAAGAAAGAAACCCTTCTCAATATTACACATGTGGCTGGTCCAAGAGCAGTGGTGTTTACAACTAATTGATCACAATCAATATTACACACATAGAAAAACCTAAATCAAATGATTTTTATGTCTTCTGGATGTTCAGTCTGGATGTCCTTAGGACAGGGGCATCATTTATTTATCTGAAACAACATTAACCATTCAGTTGCAAATGTTATTATGTCTACCGAAATGATAAAAGTTTGCTACATTCTTGAGTGATTTTATTGATCCTGGGGACAAAAAAAGAACATTATTCTGGTGATCCACAGGAAAATGGATTTGTACAAATTGCTTTCACTGTAAATGTTGAGGGGAAACCATTCTGTTAAACCCCTGAGACACCAGTGCAAGCCCACGGGCATCTGCAGTGGACCCTCACTTTGGATATCACACTCCCAGCGGCAGTGAGCATCTGGGACACGGCTGAATGGTTGGCAAAGTGTCTTCAGGCAGAGAGATGTTGTAAAGCCCATGCACGTTATTTTGGGAGTCTGTGTCTTTCATTTTATAGACAGTTTAAACCAATACTGGATTTTCCAGCTCTCAGATGGGAAATAGAACATTAAATGTAGGGTGGGACAGGGGACATGGACAGGACACCCCTCAAACTCTTTCTCCCCAGCCACATCATCCTTGTTCGCTTGCTCAGGAGGTGAGGGTGCCTGCTGCTCTAAGTGCTCTGCAGCTTTCTGCGTTGGGGTGAGGGGGTCCCATCTAATGCCCAGGCCTGGCTCCCACTGTCTGCCTGTGTGACTGTCTCTGTCCTTCCTACTCCACCCTGGTGCCACCTGGAATGCCTCTCGGGGTTCCACAGGTGGATCAAACTCACTACACCTCAAATCAAAGTCATTCCCCAAAGCTGCTCCTCCCATGCCTCTTGGGACTTGGCTCCCCCCTCCTCCCCTCCCACTCACCACAAGGGCTCCCTATGGCCTCATCAATTGCACACAGCTTTCCTCCTTCTGTCATTGCCAGAGTTAAGCTTCTCCTCTCTTCCAGGCCAGGTAATTGGAATGGCTGTCTAAATGATTTCTCCAATACCTAGGGAGACCCCCTGGAGGCCATTCTTCCCCTAACTGTACAAGCTATGGTGGAGGAGCGAGTGGAGCTCTGGAGAGGTCTGCACCAAGACTTCATGGATTACATGGGTGCCCAATATTCAGATTTTGAAGAACCACCTACATGGAGAAGGTATGCGTCTAGGTTACCTGCCTGGGACACTTTGCACCTGATGGTGCTGAGACTGACTAGCGGGTCGAGGACTTCATCCACATGTTCCTGGCACCTGTGTTGACAGTTGGAGAGAGGACACTAAGTGGTTGTGTGGTCCCAATGCACTGGGAGGCTGAAGAGAACACCCCTCTGCTTTCTTAGACAAGAGGCATTGATAGAGCATACTTCCCTGGATCCCAGGTCAGTAGACGGACAAACTATTCTTAAAGATAAGTTTATTACTCAGTCAACCCCAAATAGTAGAAAAAAGCTACAAAAAATGGCTTTTGCCCCAGATAGTTGATTTGAGATGTTAGTAAGGATTGCCTCCTCAGTATTTTATAGCCACGAGGAGGAGGCGGCCAAGGAGAGAAAACAAAGAGACTGAGAAAAAACAGCTGCCTTTGTTGCAGCACTAAGAGAAACAGAC